TTAAACTGTAAAAGAGCTAATTTTTAAAGTATTATTTATTTTATATGATATTGTTTATGCACTAACAATATTATAATATTGTTACTTCATATATTTTTACTTACTTCCTTTTTTTAATAACTGGCAATAGGAACGACAAAATATCACTGTAAGCGTACTTCTTGATCGATTTGGATTCACTACCAGATTTTATTTTTCTCGTATCGTTGACTGATCTTGTAAAGTTATCCCTTATGTTGGTCCATTCCTTTTTTATAATCGTCAACTGCAATAAATATTTAAAATGTTGAGCTGATAAAATATTATAGTATTTTTGCAGATTAGAGAAATTAACAATATTTTCAAAAACTGGAACTAATGCGCTTTGCCGGGCACCTTACAATCTCGTAGAGTTTTTTACAGTGATTACAGGTAGGCCCAGGAAAAGATGGCTGGATGTTGTGGAAGAAGACTTTGATAAATTGGAAGTACAGAAATGGGGGGAATTAGTTCAGTATCGAGTGAAATGGAGGGAGATTGTAATGAAGGAAAAAATAGCTTGCCTAAAGGACCAAACTAACCTAACCTCGTAACATATAAATTATGCGGCTGCCATCTACCTATTATTATACACGTGGAAATATTCAAATTTCAAGTAGGTCTAATTTTGGAACTAAAGGCTTTAGATTCGTAGTAACCGTAAAAAAACACTACAAGATGGTAAAACCAAACTGTATCATATGGTTTATTTTGATTAATTTTTAGTTTTGGAACGAATAGATCAAAACAATGGTTTAATATTTCGTAAAATTTGGAGATCGCCTGCATTTAAATGCAAACTAATAAGATTAGGGATTATATCGATATTGGCCAAGAAACTAATAATATCATTAAAATTGCATGTATTGAAATTATAAACAACAGGGTTTGATTGGTCATTTAGTAAACTAGGTGAGTTAAGTGGATAAAGGAATTCTAAGGGTGGATGATAAGAGTCTACTATTGGAATGAGTGAACAACCGGGAAATATAGTATCTAAGTAGGTATCGGAAAAAATCAAATCCAGGATATTATCGTTACGGTAATTAGGAATATTATTGAAATGACTTAAACCTAAATAATTTATATAAGAATTAATTATGATATTTGTTGATGGATTATTAATTAAATTGTTAACACCCAGGGAGAAGCCAGGCAGATTAAAATCACCGATGATAAGGATATTATCAATGGAATGATTAACTACGATATTTTCAACAACCTCACAGTGCACATAAAAGTCATAATATAAATCCGAATGGATATTGGGAGTATGTAAACACATCCTATGAGTAACTTAATATCATTAAATTTTAATGACAAAAAAACTTGTTTGATACCAGGAATATTTTTTACTGGAATACGTATACAATTCAAGTTACTTTTGACAGCCAATAATACACCACCACCACGACTAAGATTAGGATTGACAATTCTATCAGCTCTAAAAACAATAAAATTAGTAAAACCTAATTCATAGTCACTAATATTGTAACATAACCAAGTTTCGGATAAAAATAATAAATCACAATTAATATTTAAAACAGAGTTACGAAAAAAAGAGAGTTTGGATTTTAAACCACCGACATTTTGGTAGATTACGTTTAGTTTAAAAAATTTTGAGAATTAGCTTGTTTTGTAGTAGAGAGGAACAATTTTAGGAGTACCTTTAAAAAACTTAATAGTTAATCCAGCTTCACCATTTGAATTACGGGCAGCCAATTCGTCACGGAGTTTCTTCATGAAGTCTCTCTGGTATTGGGTCCGATCGGCACTTATAATGACAGAAGAAGGAGGAGCAAGTTGGGATAATTTTCGTTTGTTTTTTAAAATTTCACAGGACATAGACATCGGCAGTAGTTGAAAATGTTACTTTAATTGGACGTGATTTATCTGATTGAATGCAGCCAATGCGGATAGTTTTAATCGGTGTTATGTTGGAGTCAACAGAAATAGATTTGATAACATTATTCACTTGAATAAGGTCATACTCAATACGATTACCAGACCGGTTAGGTTAAGTTATAATGCATAATATTGCCAAATGCGATTCAGGCATTATTATAGAAAATCAGATTACGTGATCGAATGTTACGCTCATTAATTTCATTAATTACATTATAGTCTAAAACAATTGCTAGTAAAGGAATTGTCATGTATCAATAAAAGAAACTAAATTATATCTATATTTTTTTAAATGTCTTTAATAATGTTGTAATAACCAGTAATGGATATTTTATGTAAGTTTTAAAAAAGTGTGCGTATAATTTAAGGTTTACTTATTTTAGAGTTTTTATACCTACACAATATACATTTGTATTATCCACATTATTATGATTGTAACTAATAAAGTAGGTAAATATTATGATTATTACATATTGTGTGTATAATATTGAAGAAATCTAGGCTTTTAGTATTGAATAACTTTAACATTCGCTTAAGACAAAACCGGCGTTCATATAGACAAACGCCCAAACAATTATTATATACCTATTATTTGTTTCATATAATATTATTTCTATGTATCTATGTGATATGGTATTCTTATTCAGATTGTAAAATTTAGTTTGTAAATTTTAATTATTATTGGGTATTAAAAATTGAATTTAACATTCATTTGCTTAAATTTTTTTGTTCATACAAATTAATAACAACGTACCTTACCATACATTTTAAATTATTTACTTCTTTAGTATATGTTGTAGTTTTTTTTTTGGTTTAATCTTAATGACACTGTTCAGGTATTATTTAGGCCTAAAGTCTAAGCTGTCTCCACTAACAAGGGGAGGTCACAGTGATGGCGTGACGGATTTTCTTCAAATTGCGAATGAATGTTATTTATGAGAAATAAAAAGACCCTTATTCGAGCGTTTGTGCCAATGCGTCCTAATTCCAGAGATAATCAACTTTGAAATTTACATATTTTTTCGGTATATCTTAAATAGACCTATTTTACAGCCGCCGGTAAAAACTAAATGTGGTGCAGTCGAGTATGATCGGTGCTCCGGAGCGCGCAGTACCGGGTTCAACTCTGGCTACCGCCGCAGCACTTTTTGCATTTTTTTACAACTTTTTTTTAACTTTTATGGTAATTTATATTACAAGAAGTCTAAAAACTTATAAAATATTTATATTTTATTACTACAGAATACATTTTTACCCTTAATAGTACTTGATAACCTATATTCCATTCGGTTTTTCGTCATTTATTATACCTCTCGTACTGATGATTGAATAACAATTTTTTTTGTATAATTGCACTATTGTATAGTGCAATTTAACATTGTAAAGTTGTAAGACTAAAAAAATAATTTTTTTCCATTTTTCTATAATAGTTATTGGTTATTACATCCCACCCGGGTCGTAATTTCCCCAATGAAGATAAATTATAATATCACCATCAACATTAATACACTACATTGCTTAACAGAGTATAAATGTATTTTTTTTTGTTGTAAAAAAATTATTAATTAATAACCAATAACTATTATAGAAAAATGGAAAAAAATTATTTTTTAGTCTTACAACTTTACAGGTTAAATTGCACTATACAATAGTGCAATTATACAAAAAAAATTGTTATTCAATCATCAGTACGAGAGGTATAATAAATGACGAAAAACCGAATGGAATATAGGTTATCAAGTACTATTAAGGGTAAAAATGTATTCTGTAGTAATAAAATATAAATATTTTATAAGTTTTTAGACTTCTTGTAATATAAATTACCATAAAAGTTTAAAAAAAGTTGTAAAAAAATGCAAAAAGTGCTGCGGCGGTAACCAGAGTTGAACACGGTACTGCGCGCTCCGGAGCACCGATCATGCTCGACTGCACCACATTTAGTTTTTACCGGCGGTTGTAAAATAGGTCTATTTAAGATATACCGAAAAATATGTAAATTTCAAAGTTGATTATCTCTGGAATTAGGACGCATTGGCACAAACGCTCGAATAAGGGTCATTTTATTTCTCATAAATAACATTCATTCGCAATTTGAAGAAAATCCGTCACGCCATCACTGTGACCTCCCCTTGTAAGAACCAAGTCATTTTGCTTTTGATAAATAAATCTAATACATTGGTTTCCATTTTATTTTTTTATCAACCTTTCAAATAATATCTTAACTTGAAATTTAATAAAATAAAAATTTTTTTTTAAATTTAAGCTATAACCATTTACTATAGCAAGAAATTTAGATCTAAATAATATTTATGTTATTAAATATTATGTTTTTTAATTTAAATATTTTAAACTAATGTGGGGAAAGAAGTCAAGATGTATTTAGCTAATGTTACAATAGAAAATTTTATGAGGCGAATGGAAATGTGTTATAATCAAAATGGTCAACAATTTAAACATTTAATGTAAGCGTATAGCATTAGTAATAATTGAACCATCTATTTGAAAAAATAAGTAAGTCTTAAGTCCAAAAATTGTAATTCGGAAAATATTGCTACGCTATCGCCTACCGTATGAATTTTTAATCTAATGCTTCTTCTTAATACAATTTTGTAAATTTTATTTTGACATTATAAAGATAATAAAATTGTCTTTTGTTTCTACCTACAATGAAATAATTATTGGACTACTTTCACTAAAAATAAAAAGTATAATAGTATAAACTATAAAAGTAGTAATCATTTCACAGCTAAAATGATTGAAACTTGTCAATGCAGAATGCATATTTAAAAGCATTAAATTATGTTTGTTTACATGTTTTACACAAATAGCTAAGTATTAGGTTTATTAAAACTATATTATATATTATGTACTATATTTATAAATATATACTAATTATAGCTTTCAATTTTCATTAAAAACTGTCTACGACGATTGACAAAATTCTTAATACGTAGGAGGTATTATGGCTCACAACATAATATAAACAATAATAGATCAAATAATAAATAAACCAAAAACAATTAAAATAGCTAATAGTAACAATATATTTATAACAAAAACAATAACAATGTCATACATTCAATAAAAAAAAGTCTGCATTGTTAAGATGGTTACATCAACTTAATTACAAAAAACATTTTTTTTGTTTTTGTTTACGTTAAATCGCTTACACATCTAATGATTGTAGTAAAATTTAATTAAAATTAAAGAGCATCGATTAAACACTAGCAGTTGCACTTACATGGCCTATCGAGTTACAATTACTCTACTTAATGCAATTTATTTACAAACTGATCAAATGAATAACGGTCAATCACATTTGTAGGGCCTATCGCCCAGTGGGCACGCATCCGTGTTGTGCGAATTGGGATTTTCGAGAAAATGATTTTAAACACACATAACATTTGTGAGCCATCTTTCCACCAGTGTGCGAGTGTTTGTGTTTTGTGCAACGACTTTAAGCAAATATCACAGCTATAAGGCTTTTCACCAGTGTGCATGCGTCTGTGGTTTGCAAGGGTCAATTTATAAGAAAAATCTTTATAGCACACATCACAATTGTAGCGTTGGCTGATGTTTTCGGTATTTCCTTTGGTCACTTCATTAGTCGTATGATTGACACTATAACAAAATATTACAAAGTCTAACAATAAATAATAACGTTTTATAAAAATTATTATTTACATAATTTTACACAGCAAACCATTTATTTTTGTTTATCATATTATTGGCTAAAATGTATTTTACTTTTAATTAATATTGTGAGTGAAACTTGAAAAAAACCATAATTTGCATTATATGTTTTAAGGATATACTAAAAAAAAAGGGGAGTCAATTTCTAGGTTACTATATTGTGCGAATAAACCAACTTCCCCCTGTCCTAATATTCTCTATCCTCACTATGCAGGATTTTTTTGTCAGTTGCTTCTCTTCTTCATAATTGAAAGCAATCATAAAACTATCACTGATTATTTAAAAGTATATAAATTGATAGACTGCGGAAAAGACGTTACCTACTGAAATAATACAATTCTATTTTCTTCTTTTTGTTTCATTGAACCTACATCGATTGCAGGAATACCGTTGTGTGATGTTGTAATATGATGTTTCAATCCCTCTTTAGACGTAAACGACTCTAGACACAAATCGCATTTCTCTTCCACCAAGCTGTTTGTTACTTGCATGACCTGTCCAATGGTGTCGTTTTTTCTACTTGTAATAACAATTCAAAACAATATTATTCAATTACATCAATTTAGTGTTCAATATTAGTTCTGTTGATCAAATGTTTTTTTCAAATTTTTTATATTATTTAAAAATTAATTAAGATACTCTGAAAATTGGAAATTTAACAATTTTTTTTTTTACCCAGAATACTAATACAATTACATTTAGATGAAAATATGATCAAACTCGATAGTCGATAGTGTTATTATTTTACTCTAGAAAATGTGTTAACAACAACTCTATCTGATAACACTATCAGCCTATCATTGTTGGTATGAACGCTTACCTAGTAATCTAAACTGACAAAAAGGTGCAGACAAATTCAAATGACGCCATCTCGTTGTGACTTACTCGTTTAGCCAGTATGTCATCTAAAGCCAATAATTGTTAGTCCTTACAACATAAAATATACAGTATATATTTTTAAATTATCTAGAACATATTGATATTAGTTTTAGATATATCTTACCGTTAAAGAGGGTAGGAACAGCATTATCCGTTAACCTGTTTTTATGATTAACATTCAGGAACATTTTGTCTTCAAAATCATTCTGACATATTATCTGAACATCTTCAACGATGACGTTTTTGCCAGCCAATTCGGGGACACAATTATTAATCCACATTGCATGTCTAGAACCAAAAAAAAATTATATCAGTGCAAAATACACATCATAAAGCATTTCTCCAGTATGGATACGTTTGTGTACTACAAGGTAAGATTTTGTACGAGTAGTAAAGTACTTGACGCATACGTCACATTTGTACAGTTCTACTGCAATAGGCACTCGTTCGTTATTTGTGAGTGAAGTCTTGCATACATATACACGAGTATTGTGGACATAAATTAAATGACAGACTATTTGCCTTACGGCAAAAAACATTTTTTCACACTAACCGCATTGATATTTGTCCGAATGTTCATAGGTTTTTGTTAGATGATTAATTACATCAATTATAATCGCTTCATTGGTAATTTCATTTACACTAGAACAACCATAACAGTACAAATTAAATTAATAATTACTAAGATACATTTTAATATTGTTTTCAATTTTTTACATAATAATATTATATTTTCTTTTAAATTTAGTAAGTATGATTAATATACACAACCTAGAAAGGCAAGGTATTTATATTAGACAAAACATAGTACAAGTGGTAGTAGTTAGATCAAAATTATATTCATTTCAGTTTTAACATAATAATATGTGATAATAAGAGTTAAATCTACTTTTCATAATAAAAAAAAAAGTTTTGGATGAAAAAATTAACCATTTAGATATTTAATTACTTAGAGGAGATATAATTACATTTCCTAGTTAATGCAGGACGAATTACGTTTTTATGTTCTAAACTTAAATAATGTAAGCATAGTTTTATTTTTAATCTAACAAAGGGTAAGACAATGTGTTCATAAGATTTATATAAATGGCGGTTGCTGATTCATATACACTATATTGATGAAGTTGACATCTTTCTATTAAATTATTATTATTTTCTAAGCCCACCCTGTCATTTTACATTAGGAATATACACTCCGCAAAATACAACTGGTCTGCTCAGCTATAAATATCATACATCTCCAAAAACAACTTGATTTTTTCCTAACAACAAGCAAAATTGTCATGTTTAAGTTTATACAAAACGCCGTTTTGAATAGGAATCATACTTTGCCGTTATCTCATCAAAAAGCCTATTTTTTTTTTTTAATTACCACAACCCTTGCAACAATCATTTACTACATCTATTTCGGTATTAAATTCAAAAATATTAAATTAAAATTATAGTAACTTGCAAATGTAATGTCTAGCTCAGATGACATCAGCTATTAATTTAAAGAAAAAGTAAGTCTAATAAGAAGTGGTTATTTGAACTTGAATGATGGTATCGCTTAACATGTAAAACATACTGCTATGTAACATGCCGTTTGCCACAACACATGTTTTGATCATTTAATTTTTAATTTTTTTTTTAACAAAAGAAAAAATTTAACTGAACAAGTTACCACGACGGGGGCCTAATAGTGTCTTGTAATGATGAAATACTGACAACGCTAGGGCACATAATTTCTGGATAATACAAAATATTTGGGTTTTGAAACAGAATTTTAAGACCTTCTTGTTCAAGAAGCTACACTGTACATTTTAGAAAAGTCAAGCCAGTCTCAATTGAATTTAAAAAATGTATTGATTGTAAATATTTCACTTGGTAAGTGTGTTCAGCATATCATTTTCTTTCTGTATATGTATTGTGTTCTCATAGAAATATTCAACTGTTCCTTCTATTTCAATTGGTGCCTCATTTTTCATTTCATCATCACTAAAAAAACAAGACACATTAAAAAATTGATCTGAATTACTATATTATGAAGAAACTACAAATAATAATGTCTTAATTGAATCAACAAAATGTTAAAACTGTAAATACTTTACATGGTAACTTCTGAGCTCAAAAGAACATTTCCGTCTACTATAAACATCATGGGCTCATCACAATCGTATGTTTCATCAATTTCAATTGGCGCCGCATTTTTCACTTCATCGATACTAAAACATTGAAACATAATTTAATTATAAAAACTGGGAGGTAAATCCTTGGTAATAAATTATGTTCTATTTTAGGGTGTAACAAAATATTGTAGTCCTAATAGTCATCAGATTTTGAAAAAATATAATAATAAATTTAATAACTCCTATTTATCGTTACAATGATACAATAATGTAATAAAAGAACTAAAAGGCATCATTATACGTAAAAAAATGTAGGTATACTTTGTTAAAATCATTTCACTTTTTTGAGATGGTTCTTAACAACTACGCTTTTGGTACTGTTCGTCACCGCGTTTCACAAGAGAACATCCCGCCTAGCAAATAGAATTGCAAGACCAAATGTCAAGCTAGCGACAGTGACTGATAACACACTGAACGAATTACCCGTTCTGCCATTGGCCTCCTCAAAAACTAATAATTTGGCAAACATTTTACAAAAATTATCAACGCTGTATGTGGATACATTGGCACGTGGATATATCTTACAAACAACACAAACGAGCAAAATGAACTATATAAATATGACCCTAATAACCCTTTATAACCCTAATAAAGATTGGGTTGCAAATAACCCAACCTAAACGATTGGTTGTAAATCCAAATTGAGATCGCCGCCCAGAATGACATTATCGGCATGACGTAATAACGTTGCTAGGCGAGTTCTTTGAACAAACACATTTAGCTTTGGCCAATAAGATATTTAACATAAATCATAAAAAATTGATGTATTAACGACAAAGTCAGGAACAAATGTACTTTACCGGGCACCTTTTTTTTTTCTTCAGAAAATGTTTGTATACGACTTTTACAATATTTAAAAGAGGAGCTGCAATTCCAAGTGGCAAACTGGGGTAACCTCCAAGTCATAACCGATTATGAAACTGCGTTACGAAATGCAGTCAGAAGGGTAATATCAGAGGCTCAGTTAATGGGTTGCTGGTTTCACTATAATCAGGTTAGCCCACTAAACAAATTAAAATAAAATATTATCAAAATTAAAAAAAATTCTATTTTACAGAGCATAATACGGTTTATACAAACCAATAATCTCATTAACCAGGTTCGGAACAATATGAATATGGCAATAGTTCTGAGAATGGTAATTTTGTTTTATCTAAAAAAATTAATAATTATAAAATACACTAATAATAATATACAACCAACAGATCATGGCATTACCTCATTTACCCGCAAGGAGACAGGCTGGGTTCCCAGATGATTTTAATATAACCGATGGGTACAGGGCAATAATTGAATTGGCGAGAAATTTAAATCCAGTGGTTAAATCTAAGTTGTAATAACAGCGAATCGTTATATAAAATGAAAAAGGGCTCAACAATATCAGACAACAATTTTTTACAAAAGTTATTATTTCCCGGATTCATGCATTAAAAGTTTAAACATTAAAATCCGATCATTCATATTGGCTTAATTTTTTTTTTTCATGCAATGAAAGCTGTATAGACTGACGGTGGATTCGACCGAAAACATCATTTAACGAGACGATACGCTGTTATTTTATCCCAACAATAAAATTACTTTTTTGAAAATATTAATAACTTGTTCATTATAATACAATAATACATTACTTTGTTGGATTTTTGTTAATAAATAAAGATTTTATATATTTATCTAATTTCTTAATTTTGCGCCAGGGCGTGGCCTCCCTTGCTACGGCCCTGATAATTGCTTTGAAGTTTACTTTTTTGTTTACCTTGAAAAACCCAATTGTGAGTTTTGGTCCATTGTGTATTCACTAGAATGTGTGATCACGCTTTTTTTCGATTTTTGGCTCATATCTAGACATAGAATAGAATATTTATTATGATGATTACCTATGTTACTTAAAATAATGTGTCGTATATGGTATTAACTCGATACGCTCAAATTGACACTACGTAATACCTTTTAAAAATAGTTATACCAGGATTCTTTAAAGTTAATTAAAGCCAATGCCCAGAACACCTAAACCTTTCAATACTATACTTCAGCTAGACGAACTAACTCACACTAAATAATAATTTACCAGAACACCTAATACGGTTTTTAATCGTTATTAAGGCCTATTTCTAATTATACCTAGTGCCAGATAAGGCCGGATTTCTGTAAATATAGAACTTAGGGAATAAGGCCTATTTGCAATTTTGATCACTAAAAAAGGTTGTCTTAGTATACGCTATTTAGAATTAACTTAAAACTAAAAGGTGATTGTAAAAGGTTTACGATTATACTTTGACAATAAGTATAATAGCATAAAACACAGGTAAATACAAAACGTTCTCCCCCTAGTTAATGCTAAGCAGAGAGTTCTTCCCCGGGCCAAGCCCAAGAGAGTCCTTATGACGTCACAATTTGTATGGCTTTAAATAATAGAATTAAATATAATTTTCGTCGTATAAACATTTTAACTGTTTGCCATTTGGCCTAGATACATTGCTTAGTTTCATAATTGTATTATAATAATAATAATAATAATAATACTATTTTCCATCGCTCCTACTACAAATGTAATCCAAAAATATTATACTTTACCTGGTCCAGAAGTTGACATCATAATTCCTATAGTCGGAGTATTTATAATTACTATATTATATTTAAATAGTATTCAAAGTGTATAAAAATACACAGTAATGGATCGAAATACAGTTTATAACAAAACCGTTAGTTGAAAAATGATATTTTTCTTCGGTTTTTACTTTTTTAAGTACACAAATTAGTAAGCATTGAGTAATGAAAGATAAGAGAAAAACGTGAAAATGATAATATGATAACATTTCTGCGTTGTCATGGCGTCGGCGTATATTGTGCTGCCATTGCGGTATTTTCAAAGGAGCAACTAACGCTATCTATGATGTACTTTTTAACAATATATTGATTTTTATTTTTTTAAATCCAAGTTAAGGGGATTCGATACCGGACGTTTTTTCAGTCAAAACAAATCATTTTTTGTCCATCGCACAGGCCGAACCTGTTATCCGATAAGTAGTTTGAAAACAGATTTAAATCAGTCATGAAGTCCACTTGAGATTCTACGAGGCACTTTTTTCAATTTTGAATTTTAACCCTTTACAAATTTGATTTTAATAATTGAAATTTTATAAAATGTTCAAACATTTCTTGTTCATTGTAAGAAAAGATATCAAAAAAGTACCTTGTAGGATACCAAGTAAACTTCATAACGAATTCAAATCTGTTTTCAGATTACTAATCGGATCACTGGTTCAGCCTGTGCGATTTACAAAAAATGTACTATTATATTAACTAAAATGACTTTAACTCATAGACAAAATAATTTAAATTAAAAATAATACCATAAAGCTTATACAAATTAACCAGCAAATTAATTGACATGGTCAAAATTTATTTAAACCACTTTTTTCTTAAATATTGCCTATACAAAACTCCTTAAAAATGACTAAGTGTACTTTTGTTAAAAAAGTACCTTTAGTAAACTAAATTTATAAAGTTAATATTATTTGTAACAATGCGCTCTTTGTTTTTTACCGTTTTAGTTTAGTGCATAATACATGAACAGGAGCTGTAAAAATTTACCATCAATGATGACATTAGCTCTTTTGAAATCCCTAACTCAATTCGAAGTTCTTTACAATTTTTGACAACTTAATTTATTATTATATGGATATGTATCTACAAAAAGACTTAAAATTGTAATTATAATTTTTTGCTCAATGTTACAAGTTTTCAAATGGACAAAATTATTGTGTAAATAAAACAAAACCATGTACTTGTTTTAATATAATTTATTGTACAAACAAAATGTTGAAATTCAGAAAAATGTACAACACAATATATTTAATGTATAATATGGACACGTTATGATACATACATATATATATGATCTACAATTTGTTAATACTTATTAATACTACATAGTAGCATTGATTAAATACACTTAATCAATGATAGTAGGTTGTATTATGATTTATGTTTAAAGTTTATCTGGAAACTGACAACCGGTGTTTGTCGGTTCGGGAATTTTTTTCTGCTAGTGTCTATAACATTAATTTGACTATCCTTTTGCACAGTTTAATCGATCCCCGGGACCGGTGGGCGGGACTTCTCGCCTGGCTGACAATGCACATTAATCAATAATCCACCCGGTACCTCCTGACGGGTTACAATGCAATACTAATATATAATAACTTTCACCGTGCGGTACGCGCTGGGTCGTCTGGGGCTGCCGCCAGAGTAGAATCAATAATGTGCAAATAAATAACTGGCAACTGCATAATCGAGACACTGCGCTTTTTCTTATAAAAATGTGTCCTTTTTTTTTTTTTTTTTATTTCATATCGTGGTAGAATTATTGGCTCTGTGCACATAACGGAACACACTGTAATGAAAAAACATGATTTTATTTTATTTGAAAAAATAACACCTAATAAGTGTTATTTTTCAAACCGAAGTACAACTGTGACTAAAAAAAAGTCATAATTGCTATGTAAAATATTGTAATAACCACTTTTGAATGTTGTAATATTCTCAAAGTTAATATTGTTTTCTGTACGGCACTTTTATTTATGTTTTTTGTTTAAGCATGTTTATCACAAGTTGCCAAAGACCACTACAGACGTTACCATAATTCTCTTAAAAATCACCCAAATCCCCTAATAAATAATCTCACATTACCCTCAATGCCCAACAACCCACCAAAAAGACTTTTAAAAGGAAGTGGTGCAGAGACCTTCTCACTAACAATTAATTAAAAACGAAGTTAATAAGAGTGTCGTCAGTGGACGGCTTCTCTTTTCATGCTTTCAATGTCTATAATTTACCTGTGTCATCATATAAACTTATTGTACTAAAATTGTATAGATCGTATATGTAAAATAAAGGAAAAAAAAAGCATGTTTATAGAATATCATACAAATGTTATATTTCATAAACAGAACAAGACGTGTTTTTTTATTAAATAAATATTAACTATCAGTTTAAAACGTTTTGATTAGAACAAAGGCTCAATTTTACAACTTTTAAATAATTCCATTAACGACATTAACGTCTGCATACTGACAAAAAGACTGTATAATTTATTGCGGTAATTATGAAAAATTGTCCATATCAGTTATACTCTCAAAATGCATGTGAATATATTAATATTAGACAACATTTATACTGTACAGCACTTTATTGACAAAAATAAATAAATTAAAACGCTTATTAGAAATCCCTAAATTATTTTCATTATATTATTATTACGGTAGGTACACGGGTAACTACTAACTAGGGACAGACGATGAACCCTTTATAATCGTATCCACTTTAATATTAAAAATTAATTTTCAAGCACATTATCGTCATTAGGTACAATACTTTTTAATAGTATTTTTTTTATCTGTTTACACTGGACTTCCCTTATTTACTCACTTTTAGCCATAGGCGCAATTTCAATTTTTAATTTGGGGGGGCAGGACATTTTTTCAAAATATATATATAAGTAAATATATTTTGTATTTTAAAATTGTATGCATAACCTAATTTTTTTTTGGGGGGGGGGCTAAGCCCACCCTAGCCCCCCGCATTTGCGCCTATGCTTTTAGCCCCCACAGAAAAAATAGTAAGCTTCACAAAAAAAGCAAAAAAAACTTGAAATCCGTCCAATAGATACGCCAGAAAATGACTTCTACGACAGTCATTTTTTTATCAAACTTTCGTCATAACGCGGAGAAAAATAACTTTAAAAGTATTATAATTAGAAAATTTTAATATAATATGTTCACCTTGAAATTAGTAGGCATATGAAAAATGGCTACGAGATACATTTTTTGTAAAATATTGCCTATCCTTTGCCCCTTAACAAATAGCGCTTTCCGTTCCCCCCTAAGTATTCTGTATTATACTTTCTTACTGTGCTATTCATAGGCGGAGATTTCATTAATTTTTTGAGGGGGCTAGCATTTTTCTACCTAAAATGACCCGCAAGGGATTTACACTCCTAAATTATTAATATATAATACTATATAACATTACAAATGTATAAATAAAAATCATAATAATTATAATATAATATTTGTATATTATTTAAGTAAATACATATTATTTTAAGGCAATGTACCTATTCTTAGATCCAAATATATCAATTATTTTTTCTACATCAATATTTAAATCGTTTTCAATGTACAATATGGATGAATTATTAAACCTGTCTTGCAACATACTAGTACGTAACCATGTCTTAATTTTGCGCATAGCTGAAAAGCTGCGTTCGCATGTAGCTGAACTAATTGGCAAAGACAAGGCGACTTGGAATAGTTTGAATAAGCTGGGAAATACATTTTGGGTTAGTGCCTTTTGAATTTTATCATTATTTATTGCGTTTTTTGAAAAATTTATAACTTTATTTGGCACTTGAATTAAAATTAAATGATAACATTATCAAAAACATTGTTATAATGTTTTGCCGTTTTGGAACTGAAATAATTTTCATAATTTATTCTTATTAATAATTTTAGTTTTCATTCCATTAATTAAGGAATTTATTACTTTGATTAGTGATCAAATAATTGGGGGGGGGGCTATTGATAATTTTGGGGGGTGCTAATTCCCCCCAAGCACCCTCCAATCTCCGCCTATGGTGCTATTGCGGATATGTGATAATAATTTCTGTAGACGGTAGACCTGCGACCGTCCCGTCCCCACTGTACTGGCTTTGCGTTTAATAAACGGGTTAACGGGATCAATACGGGTATTGATTTACCTGCACAATATAATGCAATGATGGATTCTGTATGCGCTGTGACCGGTGGGTGGGACGCCTGCCCCGTTGCACGTACAGCCCCACAGCTCACTGCGAATTGGCTGTTTTAGACACACGGTTTGTCGAAAGCCAGCAAAGATTTTCACTCTTGGCTTGCACTCGAATGGAGTGAATCGACCTGAACAGTGGACAAGGGGGGTAGCTTATACAACCCTCTCGTTGAACAGCAGAATAGAGGGCATAGTGTAAAAAAAAATAACAAACAGCCATCCGTTATGTTTGTTCCAGGACATGACAACCCGACACGTCCAGAACCGTCGACTAATGAAAACCAACTGAACGGCAAAGAACATTCACAGTTTCGATCAATCGTTAATCATTGCATTTCGCATTTTAGTCCGAACAATATTTATTTGGGACTTGTCAGTAGATTGAACACAGCTAACATATTAATGTTTGAAATCGATCAACTCTTGTCATTGGCGTAGGCTTTTTGGGTACTTACAAAAGATAAAAGATGTACTTAACACGTTGACCGCCACGGGTTTTTTTACGTTGTTATTTTTAACAGCCATGAGATGTAATTCTAAATCTCAATTTTTTTCAAAAAATTGGTTGTGAGATTTTTTTTAGAGATCTCATTCACAATTATTTTCGATTGATGAGATTTGTACAGTGTTGCCACTTTCATTCGGTCTTTTTAGCAAGCGTCTAGCATTATCAGTTTTTTTCTATGATTTTTTGAAATGTATGTATGCCATGATAATCTTATCATTGATCCATTTGCATATTTTTTTGAAAATAACGTAGCTAGATAATGAAATAGCATAACTTTTGTTAAAATACGTACTGTGTTACAACTTGCATAATATAATATTGTTCGTATACAAAATACAAATATAATGGACACTAACGATAGAAATCAAATTTTAAATTCATCATTTGACTATTCTCCATAAGATGACACGGATGATGATCCAAACTGGGGATATAATATTGAAGTT